CCATTCAGAAAATAATTATCGTGAAACTGATATATTTTTCTGTGTTGCATGGTTGTTCTCTTGTGTTCTCAGAAGCAGTATTGAAGAATTTAAAATATCATATAAGCCAAAAATTATAGAAGCGCAGGAACATAATGCTAAAGTTTTAGATACCAAGGAAACTAGTGTAAGAATTATTATATATATACAATTGGAGATCAGATAAAACTCTATGGTTTTATCTTTAAGCAAAGTCGATCTTATTACCCACAATTACTATAGTATTCTTTAACTGGTACATGATTTCTTCAAACGTTGAAATTTGATAAAAATACAACTTCCTATACACCATTTGATGCGATATGAGTTGCTTGACACAACAGTAAAGATAATTTTTCAAATGAAGTGTGATCATCGTATCCTATAGTATTCTTAAATAGTGTTTTTAACTATTTTGATTTTCTAGGAAGAAACGGGTCTTACTGTTCAAGGTGTATCATCAAAGAGAACTCCATCTTGTCGTATTGTTGCAATAATTAAACGAAATTGGAGGCAGTATTGTGGAATTTTACAAGAATCTTTACCTGGTGTAAGATTTTTTTTTTTTACGTTAATTTAGTAATCGAACATAGGTTATTTTATAGGCAAAATTTCATTTATTTTTACCACATGAAAAACGTATACCAAAAATTCGTATTGAAAGTCGTCAAGCTGAAGAATTAAAAAATAGTCGAGTTATGGTACAAATTGATCATTGGCCGCGTTCATCTAGATATCCACATGTAAATATCTTAATTAAGCAAAAAAAACACCAATAATTTGCTGAATATTTATCTTTTTTTTTTTATTTGAAAGGGTCATTTTATTAAAACACTTGGTAAACTTGGTGATAAAGAAACAGAAAATGAAGTTATTTTAGCTGAAAATGATATTCTTCATCATGAATTTCCTGAAGCTGTACTTGATTGTTTACCAAAATTACCATGGACAATTACCGAAGAAGTTCGTTTATTTATTTATTTTAATTTTAAATTATTTCTTTTCCTTTTTTTTCTTAAATATTCAAAGGATCTTGCTAATCGTGTTGATTTACGTGATTTTTGTATTGTTAGTATTGATCCACCTGGTTGTACTGATATTGATGATGCTTTACATTGTCGTTTACTTGAAAATGGAAATTTTGAAGTAAGAATCAATGAAAATTTTTTGTTTTTTTTTTTTTTTAAATTAAACATTCATCTTTTTGTTATTGAAATTCTAGTGTGGTGTTCATATTGCTGATGTAACACATTTTGTACGACCAAATACAGCTTTAGATTTAGAAGCACGTGAACGTGGTACAACAGTTTATTTAACTGATCGACGTATTGATATGTTACCAGTATTACTTAGTGGAAATCTTTGTTCTTTACGTGGTGGTGAAGAACGGTAAGTAATTAGACATATTCAAAATTCTCTACTACATATAAACCTAGGCTGGCAATAAGAACCCTCGGAGACTTTCAAAGTATCTAAGTATTCAAAAATTTTACAACGAGCTACCAATATGATTTTAGTGTGTGGATTTTATCGAACAGAAGGCTTACACACCCACATCATATCATGATATTATGCACAGAAGAAATATGATATTGTTAATCTGTAAAAATGTTTGAATACCTAATACACATTTATTTTCTTCAACGGCACAATAGCATTGAGGGAATTTGATTCCATATTTGAATAAAGGAGATTCAACTGCAATGTAGTCACACGGTTTGTCTTTTCTCATATGTCTAGAATGATCGAGAACAACCAAATCATATTAATTAAAATTCCTGTTTCATTCATGATGAGGGCTGAGAGGGCGATGCTACTCCGAGGATCGAGTTGGTTCGCTCGGAGTTGGTAGCTACTGTAGCATTTAATATATGTCTATGTTTCCAAAATATAGATATTCACTTTCCAGGAATTTTAAATCATCCCTCTACAAGGGATATCCTAGATAGAACACTGCTTAGATTGATGGTACTGTAATCAGCTTTTTGTTTGTTTTGACAAACGAAATTTGATATCGTTTATTTTTTAGCATAGCTCAGAAATTCATTTGATTAGATGATGTTTTATTGTTTGTTTAGTTTTGCATTTTCTGTCAGATGGGAAATAACACCAGATGCAAAAATAATCAAAACAATATTCCATAAGTCAATTATTAAAAGTAAAGTATGTATTTCTTTTAATTAATATTTTTATGATTCTTTTAAACATATATAAAATAGTCTGCAATGACATATGAACAAGCTCAAACAATAAAAGATGATTCTGGAATAAATGATGAAATAGCTCTTAGTTTACGACGCCTTCATTCAATTGCTGCACAATTACGTCAAAAACGTCTTGATAAAGGTGCATTAGTACTTGAATCATCAGAAGTTCGATTTCAACTTGATACAGAAACACATGATCCACTTAGTGTCATGAATAAAGAATTAAGGTAAATTTGAAATATTGTTCTCATTTTTTTTTACTTATTCGTTCTCAAAACATTTATTTTTGTTTTCTTCCTTAAATAGAGAAACAAATTGGCTTGTTGAAGAATTTATGCTTTTAGCAAATATAAGTGTTGCTGAAAAGATTTATGAATTATTTCCTGATTGTGCATGTCTACGTAAACATCCTGCACCACCAATTTCAAACTTTGATCCACTTGTTAAAGCAGCTGACACAAAAGTAAATTATTCTAATAAATATATATATATATATGTATTAAAGTATTTCATTTTAAATTCTTTTTTTCTTTCAAAGGGTTTTCAAGTAAAAGCCAATACAGGAAAAGAATTAGCTGATTCTCTTGATCAAGCTGTTTTATCGGCTCATCCATATTTTAATACTATGCTTCGTATGCTTGCAACACGTTGTATGATGCAAGCTGTTTATTTTTGTAGTGGATTTGAATCTGATATAAAAAGTTTTGAACATTACGGTTTAGCTACACCAATTTACACTCATTTTACATCACCAATTCGACGGTACAAAAAAAAAGACAGAATTTTCTTTTTTTTTCTTGCTTATTTTTATCTTCTATATTTTTAGATATGCTGATGTACTTGTTCATCGATTATTAGCTGCAGGTATTAATGCAGATGCAACATTTCCTGATTTACTTAATAAACGTGTTTTACAACAAATATGTAATAATTTAAATTATCGTCATCGTATGGCTCAATATGCAGCACGTGCATCTGTAGATTTACATACTCAAGTATAGTTTGTTTTATGAACTATATATATATCGATTTATTTTGAATAATATTTTTATAGTTATTCTTTAAAAATATGAATACTGATGAAGATGGTTATGTATTTGCTGTACGAAAAAATGCATTACAAATATTATTACCTCGTTATGGATTAGAAACAACATTGTTTTTAAGAGATAAAGATGGAAAATCAATTGGAGAATTTAATGAAGAGGTAAAAGTTTGAAACGATGAAAAAAAGATTATTTATATCTTATATATTTGATTTTGTAACAAAATTCTAACACCTGACGAAGTAAAAAGTACATCCAGTAATTAACAGATCGTAATACATAAGGATAGAGAGATTTTAAAGCATCTTATGGAACACGATCGAAAATGAGCGTTAAAATATGGGAGTGAAAAATATGATCTTTCTTTTCCCACAGACGCTTATAGACGTTATTGAGATACAATAGCAAAGATCATACAACAGGTGATTGGAAAAGTTTTAAGTGAGATATTTATTCACGTTTAACTGGCAAGAAAGCATTTAAAACGAACCAAAAACTATAGGTCGCCATCATATTTTGAATTTGGGCTTCGATTCTTTTTCGATGATAGTGCGGAACTCTTCAAAAGACCTGAAAAATTATATTTAATATTCAGCGGACACTTCTCTAGTAAAACAGTTGTCGATTTTTCAAAAATGAATATATAGGAAAAATGAAAAGTGAGGTGCCCTATCGAATTAGTTTCGAATTGTAATAGTGAAAATAGAAAAATTATCCTTTCAAACTAATTTGTTTTTTGGGGTTTTCAAAGATTATTTCATTACTCTCGAACAAAATTTCTAAGACTCATATCTGAAAAGAGCGTCTTAGCTCATGACATTTCTCGAGTATTAAGCCAAAGGATGATGAATACATATGTCCATCATAGATAGAATAAGACAATACCCCTGAGATTGACAACAGCAGCTATATCATGTTTCACATTTTAATACCTCAGGGATTACGCTAACAGCTTTTCCTATATTAGAATGAATAGTTCCAATATAGAAGAAGATAACACAAGGCTGTGTCTATAATTATTGTGATATTGATCATCTAATCTGACTACATCGAATGGGTTAAATAAAGATGTTTTTTTCCATCAATACATTGTATTTATGTGTTTTGAATTAATAGGTTCTAGTTGAAACGAATAGAAGTAAATAAATTAAAAAAAAACAATCAATCTATTTTCATCATAATTTTTTCTCAAAATTTTCATGGCTTCCACTCAATTTGATATAAAAACCTATATTTGGCCTTTTTTTGCTATTCGAAAAAATCAATTAAGAATTTTAAAGTGTGTTTTTTTGTTGACTATCTACTTTGATATTGTAGGAATCTACACAAACAATAAATAATCTAACAATACATATGTTTGATCCAGTAACTGTACAAATCAGTGTTGATAGTAATAATATTCAACGACAGCGTATACAAATTCATCTTGTTAAACCGTTTATTGATGGCTTTAGTGTTTCACCAATTGTTAAAAATAAAACAGCATTAGAAGAAGTTGATAATACTATAACAACACCAGTTAAGCGTCTTAAAGTAAAATCTTCTAAATAAACTACATATTTTCGTTCTTGTTGTTTTTTTTTTGGTTCTTATGTGATTTACAAAACACAAAAAAACAAAATAAAGGTGTGATTTTCTATTTTTGTTCTTTCTTTGGAAATAGGATGTTGACTAGATTTTTTTTTAATATACATATTCGTTTATGTATATGTGTATAAATATTTATCATTTATGTTTCATTAGCAACAAGTTCGGGTGTTGGTGTCCGACGTGTAATACTTCGGGGCCGTTTAACATATTTAATTAAAATAGGCATTTCAAGTGCAGTTGTTTGTTTTTGTGGAATAGATGATTTTGATGTTGATGGACGAAAATTTGTATTCTATAATAAGGAAATATGATTTATATTGTCTATTTGAGAATTTTCAAAATTTTGTGATAATATAGGTGTAGTGTGTATAGTAGTATGTTTTTGTAATGGTGATATCAATTCAAGAGGTGATGATGATATAGGTGCATGATTTACTGTGCTTATATATTGTGTAGGTAAAAGTACCTCGGAACCTAATGATGATTTATTATCAGCTCGACCTGGTGTCCATGATGCTGATTGTGGTGCAGGACGATAACTAAGAGTTGTACCTTTAACAATACGTTTTCTCATTTCACGTAAATCAAGTGATGTTTGATTTCTTAGAAGTTGTTGATCTTTTATATTTGATTTTGCAGTTGTTGCTGTTGTTATTGTTGATGATGGTGGTTGTCGTGGTATTTGTTTTGTTCGTGATGCATTTACTTCATATCGAACATAAGCTTGAGCAAGATTATAATTAATTAATGGTTTTTTAAATACATCTATATTATGATCATCATTATTATCATGAATAATACCAGGAATTTTTTGTACTTCTTTATATGCTAAACCTTTATAAACAAATTTTGATTTTGGTATTGGTCGAATATTTGGTAATACTTGTCGATTATAACTTGTTGATTCTTGAAGTAATTGTTCTTGTTGTAATGTTTGTAAATCTTCAATAGAATATTGACTTCGTTTTGATATTGGTTTGATTTGAACAGGTACACATGTAACAACAGAACGCCACATTTTTGCTGCTTCTTCTTTATTTTCTTCGTTATTTTCAACGTTATGTTCTATGTTCTTTTCTTCACCTTCAATAAATGTTGCAAGAGTATTATTTATTAATTGAGTGTCATCTGATGTTGTACGAATAAATTCTCTCTTATTTGTTGATAAATTTTCGCTATCACTTTTATCTTTGTGTGGATGATTTTTATAGGCAGATTTTTTATTTCTATATGCTGATAAAACTGTACGAGATCGTTGAGGTAATTTTGCTGATGATGAAATAGTTCGAACAGCTGCTGATTTACGAGATTTTGTTGGTGAAATAACTCGATCAGTTTCAAGTTGTTGAACTTGAATTGGTGTAAAATAAACGTGTCCGTTATAACCTCTCCAAACCTATAAAATTTAAAATTTTAGATCGAGTACAACAAAAATAAAAACAGAAAGAAGAACAAAAATGATGCTAAATAATCCCAATGTTATGGGACAACAAGGTCCACCTCCTCCTAATCAAGTTCAACCTCCAACTCAAACACAACAACAACCAACAACATCACAAATGATGCCTGGTGGTATTAATCCAGCAATGAATATGCAAGCACGTCAAAATCAAAATGATGAACTTTTAGCACGTTGTCTTGCTCAAACTCAACGTCTTCGTGAAAATCTTCAAGGTTTACTTAATACAACAAAACAAGCGGCACATATTGAAACTGATGATCAAGCATCATCATCAACGGCAGCAACAAATCTTTCAACAAATTCAACTATAAGAAATAATATTGATCGTAAATTATATGATATGAGTACATCACTTGATCAGCTATTTGGAGCACTTGATCAATATGATTTTAAATTGTTACAAGGTCAACAAACATTAGTTAATCATTATAATGAATTATCCTATGAAAAACAAGGTACTGTATTAGATGAATGGTCATCAAATGTAAAATGGGCTGATAAATTATTCGATATATTTTCATTAATGCATCCAAGTACTCAAAATTATCGTCGAAGTAATTATCGAAATATAAATTCAAATATACGTTCACGTGTTGATGGACCATCATCAACAATAATTGATCGTATTATTACACAATTTGAATCTCAAACACAACAACAACAACAACAACAACAACAACAATCATTACAAAAAGATTATTCAATTAGTGTACAACGTTTATCAGATCATTTACATATTATTGAATTTAGTTTATTTCGTTCTGGTTTAGATATTTATTTATATGTTCGACATTGTACAGTTGAACATGTTATTGTTAAACCATTAAATGAAAAAAAATTATTTTCAAATAATTTAAATAATAAATTATCAACTAACTATCGTGCTTTAGATTTAATTGCTGGACATATACGTGCAGCTGCTGTTTATTATGCACAATTTTCTATGCAAGTTGATCAAGGTTTAGTAAAATTATTGCAATATATATCAAAATATCAAACATTACATGGACAAAAATGTGTTATTTGTCAAAAGCATCTATTGAATGGTTTACAACCAACATGGAGAGATTTTAAAACCTATGAATGTTTTCATGAAGAATGTTTAAATTAAAGTTCAAAAAACAAGGATTTGTCATAAATAATATTATAAAACTTTAATATTCTTACCTGATGAATGTTATAAAAGAAAAAAAATACTTCAAAAGTAAAACAAAAATATGTTGAATTTCATCAAGATTATTCGCTTCGTTTTTTTCTTACTCTTTTTTTTTTCAATGTTTGTATATAAATATAAAAATATAGAAAGAACGATGCATGTATGTTATTGATTGTCGTTACCATATAATTTACACTCGAATGTAAATTGATTTCTCCTTTCCTATCGATTGATTGACTGTCTGCATACTAACACAATGTCTCTACTCAACCCGTCATTCATTCAACATATTAACAATGAGCGACAAATAAGAATGAAAAGGAATGAAATAGATACGAACTCGAAGTGGTTCCATAGGAACAGGTCGTTTCTGTTCAAGATAATAAAATCGAGGATGTAGAAATCCAAAACCAGGTGGTGGATCACTTGAGCCAAGTACAGCATTAACATCATGATCGAGTTTCGTTTGACGTGGACTTTCTAATTTTTCATGAACTATTGCAGCATAATCAAATACTGCACGTGGAATAATTGTTTGTAGATGTTCACTAACAGCTGATGGTGATGGATCATTATGTGACCTTTAGTTGTTTTTTTTTTGACAAATATGCAAATTATTTAGAAGGCAAAAAAAAGAACACACACACACACACAAGTAAATTAATCCTTACATTTTATCTTGAAGATTATCATTTACAGTAGTTGGTATTAATATAGATGAAATTTCTTGTGATTGTTTATTATTTAAAATTTCTTCTATTTCATCATTTGCTATGGGTGTATCTTCTGAATCAGCTGATGATTTAACATCAATATCAATATCATCTTCATATTCATTTAATGTAATTGATTTTACTTGTTTTTCATCAGGTAATGTTGTAAGAAATGTTTGATTAGTAGGACTTTCCATGAATCTAGACAAGATAAAACAAAAAAAATAAATAAAATTTCAAAATAAATTCTATTTATATTTTTTAAAGACTTCAGTTTCAGTTTCTTACATGTTTCGTCAGTTAGAACTCATTTATATGTTGTATTAAAGAACGAAATTGAAAACGTTTTGTTTGCATTTTTACTCGGCGTCAATCAAAATGAAAACGTAAAGAAAAAATTGTAACGTTTATTTTATACATACATACTTCGACGTTTTTTAAAATGTCCCATTGACATATTCATGTAAATAATAAAGTGAAATTTATACACACACACACACTCAATGAATATCAACTTAAAATAATGAATGAAATACATTTAGAATATTTCTTTTTTTTTTCGATAAATACTATTAAACGGTTATTGATTTAGCTAAGTTTTATTGTTGATAGTTCATCTTAGAATTGTAAAAAAAAATATTTTGACTAACATAACTAATCATGAGTAAAATATACAGTGTGATAGACTACAAGCTGCAGCATATATATATCTCGTTTTCCGAAAGAATCATAAAATCCATTTTGATGTTGTGTGACTGAACATCAAGTTATGATAAACTTGTAAATTTGGTAAATTTCAACAATAATAGAGGAGTTTAATCATGAATAAGTATATATATTTTAAATGAACTTCTTTTATTAAAATTATTTAATGCACACTGAATATATTATAAAACTTATCAAAAAACAAAAAAAAAACCTTCTATGAAAGATGAGATTCATAATTCTCTTTCTTCGTTAAAAATAAGTAGTTTTTGGTGAAGTCTTTCTCTCTCGTAAGAACTGTTATGTAAAAATTTCTTGTAAAATACAATTTTGAAAAACAAACAATATAAAAAGTTTTTATTTTAATCGTAGCCAAGGATTTCTTTTGGTACACGTTTTTTATGTTGATCATCGAAACGTGTTTGTAAATTTTGAATTTCTTGTCCTGAACTACTTTGTAAACGCCAACCATAGTCATGACCACGAGAATTAGGAACCTTAAAAAAAATATAAAACAATAAGAAAATACGAAAAAGTTTCAATTTAGATTTTTTTCTAACCGTATTTGAAAAACGTGTGGAATTTTCCAATGGAGGTTTTTTTGGTTTTAGATTTCCCTAAACAATTTTAACACTAATCGTATAATTTAATAGATGAGAAAAGCAAAATTACTTTAGGATCATATTCAGCCATCCAACCATACATTTCTTCCCATTGTTTTCGACCTGAGTCTTCTTTCGAAACACTTTCAATCCAAATTTGTGCTAAATCCCATGGAGTAAATGCTCCATCATCAAGTTTTTTTGTACTAGTTCCACCCGTAGCGGCTGGTGGTGCACGTGTTGGAGCTGGTGGTGCAGCTGGTTCAGTTCGATTTCTAGTTATAGTTCATTAAAAAAATAATCATAAAATTTTAATAAAAAAAATTTCTTCACCCTTTTCGAAGTAAATTGGCCATGGCTACACACACAGTCTCTATGTTCCTCTCACTAATATAAACATACACACTCTTTCTTTTTCTTTCTCACTCCACACACGCACAATAACTTTCTCCTCTCCAAACAACTTGAAAAGAGAGAAGAAAAAAATTTTACTTTATTTTTTTTTTATTAATAAAATATCAACATGTTCAAAGAACAAA